CGCTCCGGGCCCCGGAAACTTCTGCGCGGGGTCTGGGTTCCGGGCGGACAGTCAGCGTAGGACCGCCGGCCGGTTCGCTTCCCTAGAAACAGTGTCGGGGCTGTTTCCCTGGAGTGGTGGAGTGAATGCTTAACCTTTCCGACTCTCCTCGCCCACAGTAGGGGTCGGTCACCATCATCTCTTATGGGAAGAAAACAAAATATAAACAGAAGTACTTGGGTGTACAGGTTGTAAATCAGCGCATCAACAATCCAGCCCCGTTAACGAGTTTTTCTTTTATTTCGGGGGTAGAGGGATGGGGATTTATTTTATCGTCAGATGTGTGCTCCTTGCAAAGTAATTCAAACAGAATAGGAATTCAAAAAGTAAGAAATGAAAATTTCCCTTTTACCCTCCCTCTAGTCCTCCTGCTAATTCGCAAAGGATCAGGGGACCCAATGAGACAGTGACACTGTCCATTGTGTCTCTCCTCACCTGTCCTAAGTCCTGAGATCGTGTTAAAGGCACATAAAATGTGGCCCAACGGTTTGATTGGAACTGGTATTCGTTGCCTTCATTTTTAATGAGGTTAAGTTTTGCTGGTTCTTCAGCACTTTCTTTGAAGTTTAAGGAGTTCTGGTAAATTCATTACAACTAACGAAATTTTTTTTGTGGAGAGGAAAAAACACCGCATATGCCAGTACAGAACTTAAACCAACTACATTTTTGTAGCATAAATTTAATTTTCTAATTTATTTTGAGCAACTCATTCTGTAAATAATAGAGTATCTGATGTTAATTATTTACCCATGACAACTAAGTGCAATAGGGGATTCTGGCCTAGATTGGAGAGTAGTATAAAGGCCAATTGGACTATGAACCACATATTAAAATATCATTGTTAAGTTTCCTGTTTACAATCCTGCTAGTTTTATAGAAAATATGTCCATGTTCTTAAGAAATATAGGGACTGTGTTTAGGGGTAAAGAAATGTGATATTCTGTATTTCACTTACTCTCAAATAATAGTCCAGGGGGATAAACGAGACGGTCATAAAGCAGATGGGACAATATGGTAACAATTACGGCATCTAGAGATACAGGGTGTATAGTTCTTCCCAATTTTGTGTAAACTTGAAATTATTTTTTAATAAATAATTTTAAAGTGATTTTTACTCGAGCTTATCTTTAATAGGTAGCTATGTTTAGCAATCCTTTTACATCTTCTATGCATTATATGCTTGGCAGAGTTACCCTTCTATTGTAATTTATTAATCAAATTCAAATCAGAACTGGCTCAATTTTGATCTGGCTTGCAAGAGTTTTTCTAAAAATCAAATACTGTTTATAATCTGCAACAAAAACTAATTGATGGATCCTTTAATTGTGATATTTTCATACCTAAATTCACAAATATGGGTTGTTTTAAATAAAGGTTTCTACTTTGGCTGCTTAAATTCTCTTTACAGGGCCAGGGATTTAGCTCAGTGGTTCCGCCGCCTGCCTCACAAGTGCAAGGACCCGAGTTCGATCCCCGGTACCAAAAAAAAACACCCAAAACTCTAAATTAAAAAAAAAAAAAAAGTACTGAACCCTGAACATTCTTGCCAGGGATTTAGTTCAGTGGTTCTACCGCCTGCCTCGCAAGCACAAGGACCTGAGTTTGATCCCTGGTAACAAAAACAAAAACCAAGAAAAAAACCTCCTTTCTAAATTCTCTTTACAGGTAAAGGCAGAGGGTAATCCTCCAATGTTCCAGGTTTTAGGATGCATGGTCTGATTTTATCCTTTCAGCAATCCTACAGATTAAGTGCTGGACCCATGTGTGACATATCCAGATCCTGAGGTGTAGAATAGTTGCATCATTTGCAGAGTCATCACTAATAAAGAGCTGGGAGTCCAAATTACTTCAAACCCATGTGTATCACCTTTATACTATGCACTACAGATACTTGAGCATTTATCAAATGAATTGAACTTGAATTACATGGCTGATTTTTTTTTTTTTCAATTCAAAGAACTGTAGGCTGTTGTGAGCAAAGCTCAAGAAGCAGATGAATCCTAATCTAAATTGCAGTAATTCCGGGTTTAAAGGAATGGAGAATTTTCTAGCCCTTCACAAAAAAAGACTGCTCGTGTTTTTTTATGAGACTTCTTAATGGCAAATAATGGCTAACAAATTGGGGAGGTGAGTTGAACACCTCTGTGTTATCTAGAGAGGTAGTGGCTCAAAGCCTACTCTCCTTATTTAAGAGCCTTCTTTTCTACCCCCCCACCAGCCCCATCCCAGATTTCCCCATTAGTAAATAAAACTGTTAATTTTCCCCTCCTTCACATGAGCTGAGGATATCTGCTTATTATATATGCATACTTGACCTTCACCAGTGTTTCATTTTTAACCCCCAAAAAATGATATCATTAAGTGGGAACTTAAATATCAAATAGTCTAACAAATTATATTCCATCTGACTAAATCTTGTCTTTCAAGTGCCAAATTTGTTAGGTTTTGTTACTATTTTAGACAAAAAAAAATTTTTTTTTTTTTTTTGAGACAGGGTCTCACTATGTAGTTGAGACTGACCTGGAACTCACTATGCAGCCCAGGCTGGTCTCGAACTTACAGTGATCCTCCTGCCTCAACCTCCCCTCCCGAGTGCTGGGATTACAGGTGTGTGCCACCACGCCCAGCACTAGACAAATTATTTAGAAGTTTATATATTACCTTCTTAAAACAAGTGTATTAAGTATAATTTGGGTCTGGAAGTATAACTCAGTGGTAGAATGCCTGCCTATCATGCATGAGCCTCTTGGTTTAATCCCTAACTGCAAATTTTACAGAAAGATGGACATAGAGAAACATATAGAGATATAATTTACTGTTTCCTTTATGACTTCCTGTCATGAATATCAGCTGAGTGAACTGAGCTTAAATAGAATATTGTCTTGACAGACTCCTTCCCAGTACAGTACTTAGATTTTGCGTATACTGCTCTCAGCCCTTTGAAGTGCCCTTCCCTTTCCTTACTTGGTTATTCCTACATAGTCTTCAATATACATTATATACCTCAAACTCTAAAGATGTCCTTTACCTCCATAGTTAAAAGTTAGTTGTTTCTTATCTGTTCTTTTAGAACTCTAGTAACTTCTGTGAGTCACATAGATTTGTTTCCTTGTCTGACTAGACCTCCAGCTCCTTGAGAGCAGAGTCTCTAGTTTGCATTTAGTGTTTTAGGTATCAACCTAGAAATGTACTTGGTTCTAAGTGATGAAACTAGCAGAGGCTGCACAAGTAGGGATTGCTTGTCATATAAAAGAAACCATGCTGGGCATGGTGGGGCATGCCTATAATCCCAGCACTTGGAGACAGAGGCAGGAGGATCTCCAGTATACTAAGTTCAAGGCCAGCCTGAACTACACAGACTTTGGGGTGGTAGGGGGGAGCAAGTTGCTAAGTTGCTGGATACTGTATATGTTCAGAGACCTCAGCAATATCTGAGACATAAATTCTTTGTCTCTGCCATTAGTGTGTTGGCTTTCATATTCAGATATTATTAAACAGTAGTTCTTTTATTAAAAATATTTTAGATAGAAGTTCTCTGTATAAAGTGGGAATAAGACAGGGGTAATCATTCCAGGTACATCTCCTTTTATCAGGAAAAGGGAAGGCTATAGGTGAAGCTGCCCTGTCAGACTTCCTCTTTGGACTCATGGGCCATGTATGGGATCTGGCACATAGTGAGCAAGGAACATTGAAGAATGCCTACGCAGCCTTGTGGATGATGGATATATAACTGTGAACAGTTGAGAAGATGAGAACCCTCAAAGGCCTTTGGAATAAACTTTGATTTTCTGTGATATACTTAAAAAGGCTAAGGAGACATGGGCTTGACCCTATCCAGCTCTCTCTGTTCAACTTTTTAAATCTACAGCTTGAGAGGAATTGGGCTAGAGAATCTCTAAGGTATTTTTTCACTTCTTCAATGTTATTGTCCTATTTTTTCTAGTACATACATTTTTCTTTCATGCCTGGGTAATTGCTAGAGATTTGGTAGGTTTTCTAGAAACATTCTTTGCTGAGAGATTAAGCCTAGTTGGGATATTAGATCAAATGAGTGAACAGAGGCAAAGTTTAGAGGGGAAACTATTTTTTTCTATTGTATTATTACCATGGGCCATGGTGGTGTTGGGTAGTTCCTTTAAAAATGGCCTGCTTGGGCTGGGGATGTAGCTCAGTGGTTCTGCCACCTGCCTCTCAAGTGCAAGGTCCCAAGTTCTATTTCCAGTACTAAAAAAAAAAAAAATGGCCTGCCAATCAGAAGTATTCCAGGTACTCCTTGTCTCAAAGAATTGGATGAAGCAACCCAAAATGGTGTCAAAAGTTAATTTGAAAAGTGAGGGGTAAACAGTATAGGAAGAACTAGGTCTGCCGAGTGAACTTGGGCCAAACAAAAAGGATAAAAGCACAAATAAAAGTGCACCCTGCATCTCAGAGACACAGGGTGTACTGCCGTGAGGAGTCATGCATGATAGCAGGCTCCTCGTGGTGTCTTGTCTCTTTTTATGCCATCCATGAGAAGTTCCACATATGGGTCCTGTGAATTATGTGATATAGTTGTGGGCTTTTGTAATTGACAGATCCCACCTATTTCCCCGGCCAGCTTTGCCACACCCTACCTCCTACATCAGTGGGGTCCAGGACAGGTCCCTAGGTTCTTGTGCATGATGAACAAAGAATTGGACATGGCACAAAACGCAGTTTTTTAAGGCTGTAATACAATCAAAGTGAGCAGGCTTGCATCTGTGGAAGGAAAATGGCACAGAGCACTGGGGTATAAGATGTAGGGCCTTAAAATGTTGCACCGGTTCTGGGACACCTACCATCAGGGTCTTCCAGAGCATGACTGACAGGGTGCTGAGTCATGTCAGCTGTAGCTGCTGCACATGTCCTTTCCCATAATTCACTCTGTTACAATAGGGTGTATGAGATGCAGTTCATATGCATGAACCTTCAGTGAGTGCCAGTGAAGAACGGTTACTGCAGGTCATCCAGGTAGGTGCACATGTGTCCTAGTTTAGAATTTTGGAATTTTCCAGGGCAGCCTTGGGGGTCTTTGCTTTAGTTATCTGCTTCCATGTAGCAAGCCTTAGGAGAAGGGTCAGAAGTTATTGCTCAGGTTCAGGTGAGTGCAGGGGCATGGCCCTAAAGTCCAGTTGTACTATCTCTATTGGTTTTTGTTTTGTTTTGTTTTTTGGTACCGTGGATCGAACTTGGGTCCTTGCGCTTGTGAGGCAGGTGGCAGAACCAAATCCCTGGCTCTGTACTATCTGTGATAGTACTAGAAATTAATTTTTTTTTTTTTTTTTTTTTTTTTGGTACTGGGTCTCATACTCAGGACTTTGTGCTTGTAATGAAGGCGGTGGCACCACTGAGCTAAATTCTGGCCCAGTACTAGGATTGAGCCTGGGGCCCTGCACATGGTAGGCACACTTTACCACTGAGCCGCATCCCCAGCCCTTTTTAAATTTTGAGACAAGGTCTCAATAAATTACCCAGGCTGGCCAGGAAGTCGGGATACTCTTGGCTCAGACTCCTGAGTAGTTGGAGTTGCAAGTGTGTGCCACTAGAGCACTTTTTAATCCAGTGGCTCATCCTTTCTTTCCTCTGCTTTATGTCCAAACCTATCCTGAGACTGTCTCAGGACTCAGTGGTGGAGAAGCTGCAGAGCTGGAATCTATGATCTGATTACTCAGAAGATTCCCTCCCCTAAGGATCCCCTGCAGCTTGCTACCCCTTGCTTAGGTGCTTCCAGGTCCTGAGCCTTTTCATGACTTTGTAGGTCCTATCACCAGACTTTATAACCACATTCCTCATTGCAGTTACTTAGTAAGTTAGAGGAGAGGCAAATCTAAGGCATTTACCTTACCTCTGCTGCTTCCTACATTATGGTCTTCTAGTTTCATCACAGAAAGATGTGTTCCTTTTCATTATCCTTGTTTGTTTGCAGTAATTGTTAAATTAAAACACAGATAAGCAGCTGGGGCAAGCACAAGGTCCTGAGTTCAATCCCAATTATGGGGGGAATAACAAGCATGCAGTAGGTACAGCCTACTTACCCAGGAGGGTGAAACAAGACGAACACAAATTCAAGGCCAGCCTGGGCAACTTGGCAAGACCTTGTCTCAAAATAGAATAAAAAGGGCTGGAGATGTAGCTCAGTCAGTGCTTCATGAGTTTGATCCGAAGTACCAAAATAAAAATTTAAAAAGATGACAAACTGGGCCAGGGATTTAGCTCAGTGGCACCACAGTCCTGAGTTCAGTCCCCTATCACCAAAAAAAAAAAAAAAGGATTACAAAGTAATCCTGTCAGCTCAGTTAACCAAGAACATTTTTATTTTTAGTTTGATGCTTTTCTTAGGCTATTTTCTATACATTATTGTTTATACCCAAATATACATTGAAACCAGGGGGTCTGTGTACCAAAATGTTAACAGTAGTTATGCAGATGGTGAAATGTTTTGGATTTTTTTAAAACATTGTCTCATGTTTATGTGTATTTCTGTGGGTTCTGTAATGACTTGGATTACTGAATTCCTTGTGATTTCAGTGAACTAAAAATTGTTTCTGCTTCCATTTTTCAGATTAACAAAATATATTGTGTTACTCTGTTTCACTAAATGTTTGAAAGCTGTGGGACTTTTTGAATCATATGATCTCCTAAAGACTGTTCACATTGTTCAGTTCATTTTCATATTAAAACTTGGGTGAGTATGTGGGGAGGGAGAGGTTCTTAAGGTTTTTTATTTCTTGGAAATCCTGTTTAATAGTATCTTTAGGAAACTTTACATACAATGTTTTGTGCAATTCCTTCTGATGAGTATTTGATACTTTTTAAAAAAATAGAATGCCTAAGGTTAAAGGCACAGATAGGTAAGAAAAGGGATTGTTATACTTTTAATCACTTACAAGAAATACGGACTTTTGCTTTAGTTGTGTTAATGAGATTTTTCCAAAGTTCTTTGTTTTCAAGACAAGGTCTCATTATGTAGTTCAAGCTAGCCTTAAACTCACTGTGTAGCCCAGGCTGCCTTCAAACTGAGTCTTCCTGTCTTTGCCTCTCAGGTGCTGGGATTATAGGCATTCGCCACCAACTGGTGCAGAGTTCTTTCAATTTCTGGCTTAGTAGAGGACAACTGATTTTTTATGTCTGCTTCAGCAATCTGTTGTAGTATCACATATCATCTATTCTCTGAAAAATTCCATTGTACAGTACCATCCTTAGACAATAAGAATAAAAAGGCAGATAATGTTTAATAATTTTATAAAAATTGGTTGATCTAGTAAACTCCCTAAGAAAAGGGTCTTGAGGAACCTAAGGATTCCCATTCGTTGAGCAGACACAAAATGGCATCTGTGTCTTAGCACAGGTGTCCCTTATTTTCTAAGTTAAACTACATGGCTGTGTTCCCTGCACAGTCCCACATAGTACAGGATTTTCATTATGCATAAACTACATTCTTGTGCAGTAAGAAATTCGTCTTAAATAGACATTTCTAGGCCCTGAAACTGATAATGACCACTATCTGTGCTAATAAAAATCTGTTAAAAACACTTGGGTATATAATTTTAGGAATTTGGAAGAGATTCTTAACTAGGAAATTTTAAACAGTTTTATGCATTTTTATATAACTTTTGGCAATGTGGAAAGTAGGGACATATAATGGCACTCTCTTCATTTGTATTATATTGTATTGTTATTACTAAATTTTGAAAAGATAGGAATCATTTTCTGTGGTATTTCAAGGTAAAAAATATTGAATCATTGGGCATGGTGCACATGTAATCTCAGCAGTCAGGAGGCTGAAGCAAGAGGATCATGGGTTCAAGTGAGTTTGAGACTAGCATGAACTACATAGTGAGACCTTGTCTTTAAAAAAAAAAAAAATGAGTCACCTTTACTTGTAAGGCTTGAGAACTGGTTCCAAAGATATTTATAACAAAAAAGATCCTAAGATGTTGCCATGAAAATCTCATTACATTTAGTGTAGTTCTCCATCTGCTACAGTTCTTTAGAAGATAGCATACCTTTCAAGTTCTAGTATATTTGTTTAAAGTAAGTTTCTTAAAAACCACATTTTGTATTTAATATTGATTAATATTAATCCTACTGTTTCAATATTTACAGGACTGCATTTTTTATGGTTTTGTTTCAAAAGCCCTTTTCTTCTGGGAAGAATATTAGCAAACACCAGGTAAGATTTTTGCAGAATCATTTGTTCCTAGCAGCTTCCCATTCAGTGGGCAAGAACACGGTGCTTATTTGTCAATTGAGAATACTTAAAGAACTGTTTAAATGCATAGCAGAAAATTTCCAGAGTCTACTTGCTCTCATCTTATCTTTTCAGAATTGAGGCTTCAAGAGTAAATTATATGGCTGGTGATGTAGCTCAGTGGTGCCTTACCTGCCTGGCAAGCACAAGGTCCTTAGTTCAATCCCCAGTACTGGAAAAAAAAAAAAAAGTACAAAGTATAAAATGCCAACATGAGCCAGGCATGGTGGTACACGCGCCTGTAATCCCAGCATTTGGGAGGCTGAGGCAGAGCTATCACCATGAGTTCAAGGCCAGCCTGAGCTACATAGCGAGATCCTATCTCAAGAAAAGTAAATAAAAAATAAAATGCCAAGATAATGGGATGTTTAAAAAAGCAGAAGATAGAAAAGTGTAACAACCTATATGCAGTTGTTTTAATACAGGCTCCTTCTGCAAGATGCACAAATTGGATATGAGACTGCCTGTGACCCTAGTACAATATAAATGTCACTGGGAAGCAGATGGGGTTAAGTGAGGCTCTGTGAGTCAGACAGATTTATGCTCTCTTTCTTGGACAGGTTAATTTCCTTCTACCTTAACTTGCTGACCTGTAAAATGGAGATAATAACAGCTTTCTTATGGGAATGTGAGGGGCAAATGAATAAAAAAGCATAAAGTTCTTAGAACGGGACCTCGCATATAACAAAGTTGCAGTGTATCACTTTCAATAGCATTGTCCTTCCCTTTAGGTGTGTTTCAAGCTTCTTGACAGAAAGTCCCCACATCCTGCATGATTTCCACACAGTGAACCTCATGGGGCAGCACGTACACTTACTACAAGTTTGCTTTATGCAAACAGTTAGAAACCTGTAGGATAGTGTTTTTCTTCACTAGATGACAAATTTAAGTACTTCTGTTTTAGAGATAAAGAATATTTTGGGAACTGGGGATTTAGCTCAGTGTTGCCACCGCCTGCCTCACAAACACAAAAATCCGAGTTTGATCCCCAGTTTTTTTAAAAAAAAAGAATATTTTTTAAAAATAAGATTAGTATTTTAAACCCCATCTTTAAGCTTTTCTGTTTTCAAACAGTTGGAACACTAAGAATTCCTAATGGAATGAAAAGTTTAAAAACTAAATATTAAATATTCCTAGAAACTAGTGAGAAACTGAGAAAACAAAATTGTACTCTGTAGGAAAAGATTTCAAGATATAGAAAGAGACAAGAATATGAAAATTTAAAACTATCTTGCAAATCTAGAGTTAGAAGAGATCTTAGAGTTTTGGTATTTAATTATTTTTTTCTGTTTAATTACCCTTTAAAATGTTTCTGATACCATTCTCATCTTTCCCTGTTTGTTTTAAGGTTGAGATACTTAACTAATCATGTATGACTAAAATTTTTTATTTTCATTTGTAGTGGATCAAAATATTTAAACATGCAGTTGCTGGATGTATCATTTCACTCTTGTGGTTTTTTGGCCTTACTCTTTGTGGACCCCTAAGGTAAATAAAAAGGCATATTTTGAATGTTTATATTTCTTCATTGTGAATATTAATTTTGTTCTGTCTTATGTCAAATATTTATTTGTACAAATGCTTCTATCATTTCCATAGTCCTAGCATTGGATAGGACTCAACAGAGAGCAAGTGAAAGAACCTATTTAGTTTACGAACTAATTCTCTGGTGAATACTATTAATGTAATTATTTATTATCTGTCATAACTGTTTTAGTAGTTAAGAATCCAAAGAGTTTCAGAAAAATTTTAGTGTAGTGACTCTTTTAAATCATTTATCTTTTAAAGCACTTACCAATGATCCATTTTAGCAGCTGATTTAGAAGGTAAAGGTCTGAAATGGTAAATAAAATCAACCAAAAAGATCAAAGTCTTTAAAAGCACTTGTTTTTTGACAGTTCTGCAAGTATGCTTCGAACAGATGCTCTAGAACAATGTGTCAGTCATCATTTATGTAAATGTGTGGCGGGTTAACTAGACACTCTCATTTCCTGTTCCCCTAGATCTGTATATAATCTTACTGCACATATGGGCCAGCTTAGTGAGGAAATGCTTAAGGGCCACTTAATAGGAAACATAACATTTGAAACTGTTATAAGCATTCTTTTATTCTTTCTCTATTTCTGAAAGGTTTTACTTTGTGGGTAAATGTAAGAAAACTTTGCCATTGATAAGGAGGAAATGTGAGGCAAGAGGAAAAGAGTAAAATAAAGGAGGAAGGGAAGTAGGAGGGGAAAGTAAAGGGATCTAAAAAGAATTAAGATGTGTTTGGGACCGGGGATTTAACTCAGTGGCACTGCACCTGTCTCATAACCACCAGGTCCTGAGTTTGATACCTGGTAACAAAAAAAAAAAAAAAAAAGATGTGTCATATACACCTACCAACTGCCTATAGTGAATGTAATTGTTGTGTACATGTAAACATGTACTAATAAAAATAAATATTTAAACCAGGCCTGGTGACACATGCCTGTGATCCCAGTACTCGGAGGCTGAGGAAGGAGGATTGCCATGAGTTCAAGGCTAGCCTGGGCTACCTAGTGAGTTCAAGGACAATTTGAACTACATAGCAATACCCTGTCTCAAAAAAAAATTTCCATTTTTAAAAAGACTAAAATGAAGGATTTTTGTTTTGTTTTGTTTTTGAGAAACTGTGTAGTTCAGGCTGGCCTTGAACTCACTGTGTAGTCCAGACTGGCCTCACTCACAGTGATCCCCCTGCCTCGGCCTCCCAAAGTGCTGAAATTACAAGCATGTGCCACCACACCCAACTTGTGAAGGATGTTTTAAAGGCCCTCCCTCAGAATAGTAGGGTGAGCAGATTACAAAGTTGAAAAATGCTTTATGAAATATCATTTTCCCTCTTACAGCCAGTAGAGTCCAGTTGGCTTTGTCCTATGCTTTGGCAGCACAGTCTATGCATAAATCCAGGTTCCCAGTTCCTATCAACAGTAGCAGCAGGGACAGGGATTTAGCTCAGTGGCACTGCACCTGTTCTGCAAGGGCAAAGTCCTGAGTTCGATCCCCAGTACTGAGAAAAAAAAAGGCTATAGAAGAGGTTATGAAATTTTGGGGCTATCAAGGTAGTTCAGTGGCACTGTGCCTGAGTTTGATCCCCAGTACAAAAAAAAAAAAAAAGTAGCAGCAGCATCCTGGAGGGGTGGGAAAGCTGGCTCAAGCTTGGGTAAGGCTTTTCAGTTTATGCCTGAATGTAATTGTGTGGCGCTATTTCTTATCTGCAAAATTTTAAGTTTCTTATGAATTTATGCTTTAGTTCATGTTACTAAATCACTGTCCCTGTGCATTAGGATGGGAAAGGAAGAAGTAAATCCTTAAATTCATATTTGGCTCTTTAGTCATCTATTTCTCACCTTTACAACTTCTTAAAACCACCAGTGCTGCCCCTCTAGTCCTTACTAAAACTATCGTGTAGGTTCTTGATGAGAAAGACTCCTTTGGTAGCCAAGTGTGGTAGTACATATCTGTAATCCCAGTTCCTTGGGAGTCTGACAGAAGCTGGAGAGTCACGAGTTCGAGGCCATCGTAGGTGACTGTGGGATTGTTTCAAAAAAGGGCTGCGGATGCAGCCTTGTGGTAGAGCACCCTGGGTTCAGTCCTCAGTACCACAAAATGCTCTTTTGGTGCTTCATAGTTTGTCTTATTTTAGGTATTACTGTTGATATTTTTATTTTCTTAAATTATCATCAGTGTGTTCTCATTACAGATTTTTGGTTAATGAGAGAAATGAAAGTATTGAATAAGCAAGTAGAAATCTAATACTATTTAGATCCCATAAGCCTCCTTTGGCTTGTGATATTTTATTTTTTTCAAAGAAATATTTACATAATAAATAGAATAAATAAATTATAGGTATAAAAATGTTTAAAGAATAATAAAATGAACATTGATGTTATCTAACATTCAACCTCCAAAATAAAACAAGATAGGTGTGGAGGTGCACACCTATAATATCAGCACTTGAGAGTCTGAGGCAGGAAGATTGCTACAGGTCAAGGCCAGCCTGAACTACATGTGTTGACCCTGTCTCAAAAAAACAAAAATAGGGGCCGGGGATTTAGCTCAGTGGTGCTGCCTGCCTCACAAGCACAAGGTTCCAAGTTTGATCCCTAGTATAATCAATAAATCAGTAACTTTACCCTGCCTTTGGATATAGCCACTGCCTTTTATTTTTCGTTCTTTTGATTTTCTTTAGTGTTTTACATCTTTCCTGTTCTTTTAGTGTGGCAGGTTTTTTACTTTATATAATGGAATCACATTGCGTGTGTTTTTCTACAACATGCTTTTCCCATTCAGTATTATGTTTGAGATTTGCATATTTGATAATTGTAGTATATAGGTACTTATTTTTATAGTGGATTTTTTTGGTTGGTTGGTTGGTTGGTTTGATTTGGTGTTTTTGGTGGTTGTTTTGTTTTGTTTTGTTTTTCCAGACAGGGTCTCAATATTGTAATTCAGGCTGGCCTTGAAGTCACTATGTAACCCAGGCTGGCAATCCTCATAGCAGTCCTCCTGCCTCCACCTCCCAAGTGCTGAGATTGCACGTGTATACTACCATACCAGCTTATAGTAGTTTTTTTTTTTAATATAAATCATATATTTTTAAATTCACCATTTTAAAATGTGCTGTCTTCAGAGCTAAGTGTTGTACACACCTGTCCCAGGTACTTGGGAGGCTGAGGCAGATCACTTGACTCCAAGGGGTTCAAAGCCAGCCAGGGCAATATAGCGAGATCTTGTCTCAAAAAAAATAGAGTTTATCAGTATGGCTCAGTGGTAGATGGCTTGCCTAGCTTGCACAATGCCCCAGGTTTCATCCCCAGCACCATAAAAAATTAATTATTTAATTTCACTATAAAATTCAGTATTTTTGTATGATCATAAAACATCTTTCATTCTTACTACTATATAATTATTCTGTGGAAATATTCCAATCTATAACATTTATTTTCTTAGTAGATATGTAAGTTGTTTCTGATTTTGACCCAGAGTGAGCAATGCTGATAAGAGCAGCCTTTTAAGTATATTCTAGATAATATAATCCTATTGTTATTTTTAGCTTCAACTTCTCTAAGGTAAATAATACCAAAATATTTTCCAAGGTAATTGTACCCACTTAGTTTTCTCATACTTTTTGTGAAACCAAGGGAAATACTTTTACTCTAGATGAATTCATCCTTCCTGATAAAGATATGTTTCATAAATTACACTCTTTTGTCTTTGTAGGACTCTGCTGTTATTTGAACACAGTGATATTGTTGTCATCTCATTACTCAGTGTTTTGTTCACTAGTTCTGGAGGAGGACCAGCAAAGGTAGAATTTTCTATTATCAGTGATTTGGAAATGAAAAACCAGTCATAAAATATCCAAAGCAGAAAAAAAATCGTACTATTACCATTTTATAAAAATGCAGGGGCTTTTTATACTAGTTCTTCATTTTTCTTTAAAAAACATTTTTCAGCTTTTTACTTTTTATTTTTAAATGATTATAGATTCCTCAGAAGTTGCAAATATCAGTGTATCTTTCACTTAGTTTCCCCCAAAGATGATTTCTTAACCAACAAAAATACACTCTTAAAACCAGGAAATTGGATCAGTACAGTCCATAGACCTTGTTCAGATTATACCAGATTCACACACACTGGCTATGTATAGCTTTGTGTGTCACCACCACAAGATAGCAAACTGACACCACCACAAAGATCTTTGTGTTGTCCTCATACCTCCTTTCCCACCTTATTCTTAATCCCTGTGAATTATTTTTGGAAAATACCTATGAGCTTGTTATATTTAAAGTCTGAGTACTTGGTGCATACCTGTAGTCCCAGCAATAGAGAGGCTGAGGCAGGAGGATTACCACAAGTTTGAGGCCAGCCTGGGCTACCTAGTGAGTGCAAGGCCAGCCTGAACTATATAGCAAGAGTGTGTCTCAAAAAAACCCTAAATAAATAAATAAAGTCTGAGTACAAATGACCAATAAATGCATGAAAAAATGTTCAGTATCACTGGCCATTAGAGAAATGCAAATTAAAACAATACTGAGATTTCATCTTACCCCAGAAAGAGTGGCCATCGTTAAGAAATCACGTAATAGAAAATGCTGGAGAGGCTTCAGGAGGAAAATGGAACCTTTCTACATTGTTGGTGGGAATGTAAACTCTTATAACTACTATGGAAATCAGTATGAAAATTCCTCAAAACATTAAAAATAGGGGTTGGGGATTTAGCTCATAAGCACAAGGTCCTGAGTTCGATCCCCTATACCTGAGGGGAAAAAAAAAACCTAAAGTAGAAATTCCATTTGACCCAGCTATTCCCCTTCTAGGTATCTTCCCAAAAGGGTTACAGACATCTTAGTACAGTGATACATACATACCCAGGTTTATAGCAGCACAAATTCACAACAGCTAAATCTTGGAAGCGGTCTGTATATCTATCAACTGGTAAGTGGATAAAGAAAAGTTGTATTTACACACAATGGAATTCTGCACTGCCGTAAGAATGGTAAACTTGAGTTATTTGTAGGAAAATGGATGCACCTCAAGATGATGTTATATGAAATAAATCAGACACCTACGTTTAAATATTGCATGGATTCTCTTACATGAGAAACCAAGATTATAAAGAGCAAAATAAAAGATAGATAATGGGAAGTAGGGAGATAGATCTTTCTCAAAGGGAAAGAGAATCAAAAGATTGGAGGGAGGAAGAGGAGTGAAGATGAAAAAGAAGAATTAAAATGTGTTATGTACATTTATCAGCTCCACAAGAAATGTAAACATTACTGCAAACATGTACTAATAAAATTTTTTAATATAGTCTGATGAACATTTATTTATCCAACACTTTGCCAGTTAACATCCCAATATATCTTAAGTAATTCAACTATTATCTTCTTTGGGAAAATGAGTTCCAAATCTACAGTTCTAAACTGTAGGAGCCACAGTGTTTCTGTCTTAGCAAATTAAATTTTTCCTGTGTGTGATGCATTGTCCTAAACATAGGAAAAGAGAAGTAAAGAGAAAGATAATAGTATCTGTTCTGCAAGGGAATTTTAAATTAAGTAATAAAGAGAGAAGACTAAAATAATCAAATGAACAAAGTAACCTGCCAGGTAGAGCACAATAAGAAAGCACCTAGCTCTCAAATTGAGTGGTTAATGTTAAAGCATAGGCCACCAGTTTGTCCTTTCCACCTACTCGTGGAGCACTTAAAATTTCAAGCACATTAAAGTTTTGTGTGTTTAAAGAAAAAAAAATCTAGGTCCAGAGATGTAGCTCAGTAGTACCACCCCTGCCTCACAAGCACAAAGTCCTCTGTTTGATCCCCAGTAACAAAAAACAAGCCAGATATGGTGACATGCCTGTAATCTAGCACTTCAGGAGGCTGAAGCAGGAGGATTGCAAGTTTAAGCCCAGCCAGGGCAACATAGACTGTCTCAAAATAAATTTTAAAATGGCTGGGCTCTTTTGTTTTATTTTGAGATCAGGTCTTTGTCAGTTCAAAGGTCCTGGGTTCAGTCCTTGTTGCCACACACACACACACACATACACCTAACAATGTACAATAAAATAATCTAGAGTATAAAGTAGAAAAGAACTTTCTGAGTATTAAAGCAATAGGGAAAGCTTAACAACAGAAATTACCATAAACAAAGTTTTACATTTCTTTTTGAAATGGCAGTCACATCAGTTAAGAAAAACACCTAAGTTCTTCAAAAGAAATAGGGTCAGGGATTTAGCTCAGTGGTTCTGCTGCCTGCCTCACAAGCACAAGGTCCTGAGTTCGATCCCTGGTACCAAAAAAAGAAAAAAGAATTAGAGTGATAATGGCAGGAGGGGATGTAAGGGAGGTAGGTAGATCTGATCAAAATGTTTTATGCGTGTATAAAAATATGCCACATTGAAACCAAATGTCACCAGGTGTGGTGGCACACACTTGTAATCCCAGCACTTGGGAGGCTGAGGCAGGAGGATCCCTGTGAGTTCGAGACTAGCTTGGACTACATAGTGACTTCCAGGTCAGTCTCAACTACATAGTGAGACCCTGTCTAAAAAAAAAAAAAAGAAAGAAACTTAATATCTTGTAAAATGAATAGGTGGGAATAAAAGTACATTTTAAAATGCAAATTACTTGAAAACAGTACGAATAATCAGAAGTGAAAGTATAAATCTTATATATCCTCTCAGTAATGAAAGATCTGCCCAGAACTTGTAATTTTTTTTAATGATTCTGAAGCATCACAGAACTTTCATTTGCCCTATTTGTTAATAAAAGATTATTATTGCTGAACATAGTTGTGCACACCTATAATCCCAGCACTCTGGGGTGCTGCAGCAGGAGGATTGCCATGAGTTCAAGGCCAGGCTGCACTACATAGTGAGACCTTGTCTCTATAAATAAATAACATCTCTGTATTTTAGTGTTTTTTAATATGTACTGAGTTTTGTCATAATACCACATTGAGAATTTGGTAGTAATCGCATATGAATAGAATGGTATCTTCACTTTATTTTAAATATTTATTTACTAAAAATGCTGCACCGTACTTCCATTAAAAGGATTTTTAGAAGTATTTACAATATATTTACACATAAATGTATGGAGTATTACATATACAGTACTGTGAGTATACATATACAGGAAGTACCTATAAATTCATTAGTATAAAATGTATAGTAATGGTAGTTTAGACTTTGTACCTCACTTTCTGAAATATTTATATAAATGAGGCTAATATGTCCTTCATATAATTTTCTTTTGTCAAATTCTTTCCCTAAAATGAAAACATAAACTTTAAAAACTTACCAGCTTAAGTACTTTACATCTTTGCTAAATCTTAAAAATGACTTTGCTAGTTTTAACATGGTCTCATGATTCTTTTCTTTCTTAGGACAAGTAGAAACTATAATAACCTCTATCCCTTGCAAACTGTATAGTGTAAGTCCCTACTAATTATTCTTTAACTAGTTGAGGTTTTTCAACCAGATTTGAAGTTAACATTTAGGAAAGTTGATTCTGTAAATATTAACGGTTTGTTCATACTAACATGCCTAGCCATGTTAGCAAGGAAATGCTTTGTCAATATTAGCTGTCTTAAAAATACTCTTAAAATATTCTACAAAATTTGTTAGATCACTTTATTTTTATATCTTACAATACTATAAGTATAAGGACTTTTAATGTCATATGTTATTCTTTAAATTTTTTTGGTAATGTTTCTCTTAGCATTTGTGTTGTCATCATATTAAGAATCAACCCTTGAAAAAACTATCCTTTGTTTTCTGTTTTTTGTTTTTCGTTTTCAGACCAGGGGAGCTGCTTTTTTCATTATTGCTGTGATCTGTTTATTGCTTTTCGACAATGATGATCTCCTGGCTAAAATGGCTGAGCACCGTATCCTTTTTGCAGCAGATGGGAGTTATGTAAAGACTTGCAGAACTGGGCTGGGGATTTAGGTCAGGGGTTCGGTGGCCTGCCTTGCAAGCACAAGGACCCAAGTTCAATCCCCAAAAAAAGACTTGCAGAATAATAGAAGACACAGAATGGGAAAGAAGAGATGAATGAACTAAACTGATCAATCATGAATGAAACGTCCATAGATTAGTGTAGACATCGTCATTATTCAAATAAGGAACATTTTCATTGTTAGATGTTTTAGAGCATTCAGTGTTTTCTAACATTGAACCCAAAAGTTCAGAAATTCAGACATTGAATATATAAGAATACCCTGTTGCTACAATACAAACATTTCAGTTTCATCTCATTTTCACTTTCTTGCTCTAGATTATTGCTGCAGCTCAGCCTCCAATCATATTACCTCTTAGATAGACCACCTTTCCGGTCAGATATGTTTGCTGGCCTTATTCTGACTTTATGCCTGTTTCCTTTCCATATGCCATTGCCTACCAAACAGGAGAACTCAGAGCACTCATTTTGCCTCTTCTGGTTACTGACGTGATTACCCTAAAAGCTTATTAGTAGAATAATAATTATTTTGTCACAGTGAAAGAGGAAAACATGACTTTAACAAAGTTCCAGATTGTCTGTGATACAACCTGTATTCCTCACCCAGCCACTTTTACTTGCTCGCTTTACTGAGGTTTGTTTATGGTGTCAGTGACTTAGGTACAAGTTCAAGACTGATTTTATGTTAGTCTAACGTAGAACCTTAATTCCATTGGACAGGAGTGGTTCAGGGAGATGCCTTGTTCTTTTCCTTTTGTCCTACTTAACAGTACATACTCATGTGTCTTTTGGAGGTCAATACTAAACTTTAGCCAATATATCTTAGCATTATTATACTTGTTTTGGACAGTACAAAAGAAGCATAAACCATTCCGATTTATAAACTTTCCCAGAATTAAATTTTAGATTTTTTTATTTTTAAGAGAAACAATAAGTTATTTAGGGTGTTCAGGTTTAGGGCTCCAGTCTGTATGCAAACCAAAATAATACAGCTAAAATTTCAAGAGGATTTAAGTTTCACAGAGTTAATGTTTGGATTTTTTTCCTTTACTGTAACTCTTAGCTGAAGGACATCATGACAGTGCTTTAACTCACATGCTTTACACAGCAATTGCCTTCTTAGGTGTGGCAGATCACAAGGTATGTTCTTTGTTGCTAATGTGAGCAAAAGATTCTGAAAATTAACAACCATAACTTTGTTTTTTTCTTTTTCTTTTCGTTTTGAGAGTTTTGGGTTTTGTTTGTTGTTGTTGTTTTATTACTGGAGATTGAACTCAGGACCTTGCGCTTTCGAGGCAGGCACTATGCCACTGAGCTACATCCCCAGCCCCCTTATTTATGTTTTGAGATAGTGTCAGTAGTTCAAGCTTACCTTGAACTCATATGTAGCCCAGGCTGGCCTCAAACTCATGGAGATCCTACTGCCCAGTGGATTACAGATATGCACAACCACACCTGGCTAGCAACTATAGCTTTTAAAAGTGCATTTAAATTAAGTTATCAGGGTGTATAGCTCAGTAGTCCACTTGCCTGCAATCAATAAAGCTCTATGTTGGATCCTCAGCCCTATTAAAAAAAAAACTTTTTTAATTAAGTAAAATAAGTTACCAGTAATTTCAATAGCCTGCCATTTAAGTAAAGTAGTTGAGGTTGTGGGAAAAAAGACTAGTTCCATTTCTTCAAATATATATTTAAGGATCGAATATTGTCTGAGTTTCTGGGACACATCTCATTTTACTTACAGGGTGGAGTACTTTTGCTAGTACTGGCTTTGTGTTGTAAAGTTGGCTTTCATACAGCTTCCAGAAAGCTCTCTATAGATGTTGGTGGAGCCAAACGGCTACAGGCTTTATCCCAGGCGGTTTCTGTGCTGCTTTTGTGCCCATGGGTCATCATTCTTTCTGTGACAATGGAGGTAAGAGAATAAAAATAAGTAAAATTATTCTTACTTATAAATTTCTGTTTAGCACATTGTTGTTTGGGGGGGTTGTTTGTTTTGATACAGAGTCTTCTCTGGAGTTCATGCTGGCCTTGAACTCACTGTGTAGATCAGGCTGGCCTAGAACTCAAAGTGATCCTTCTGCCTCAGTTCCCAAGTGCTAGCATTACAGGGATGTACCACTACACCTAGTTCAATTCAATACATTATATTTTGTTTTAAAGTGCAATTGAAAGTGGCTTAAAGTATCTTTGCTTTTCCTTTGTAATTTTTTAAATTTGGAGCTGATTTTATTTATAAAAAATATAAGTCAAATACTATTACATTAATGCATCTTTCACATTCCTGTGGCCTAAAGGAATTAGTTGAAAAAAATGTCAGTCTTAGGCTCAAGGATTATAGGTCACCTCATATTTATAAAATTATTCAACAATAGTTTCTTTCAAATACTTTAGAAAATAGTGGAGAAATGTACCATATCTTTTATTTCTTATATGTTAGTGTTTTATGAATCATGAGAATATTTTTTATGCGTAAAAGGATTCATCAAAACATCTTGTAAAATGTGAACTTCACAGATACATATATATAATGTTGACCAGTTTGTTTGTTTTTCATTTCTAGAGTAAAGTTGAGTCTTGGTTTTCTCTCATTATGCCTTTCACAACGGTTATCTTTTTTGTTATGATCCTGGATTTCTATGTGGATTCCATTTGTTCAGTCAAAATGGAGGTTTCCAAATTTGCCCGCTATGGATCCTTTCCCATACTTATTAGTGCTCTCCTTTTTGGAAATTTTTGGACACACCCAATAACAGACCAGCTTCGGACTATGAACAGAGCCACACAACAGGAGAGCACAGAACATGTCCTGTCCGGAGGAGTGGTCGTGAGTGCTGTGTTCTTCTTTTTGTGTAAGCATTTTCCCCTTGTTTTTATTTTAACAAATTTATTTTTATAGAATCTGATGTTTGAATCATTTACTCAGTTTTGGAAGTTGTTCAATGCTTGCATTTCATTGCTTGCTAGCAGTTACTATGTTAGTTTTGGGTAGGTTTAACTTTTTAAAACTTATGTAATATACTTCTTTTCTCTTTGTAGCTGCCAACATCTTATCATCTCCCACTAAGAGAGGACAGAAAGGTACCCTTATTGGATATTCTCCTGAAGGAACACCTCTTTATAACTTCATGGGTGATGCGTTTCAGCATAGCTCTCAGTCAGTCCCTAGGTTTATTAAGGAATCACTAAAACAGATTCTTGAGGAGAATGACTCCAGGCAGATCTTTTACTTCCTGTGCTTGAATCTGGTAAGATTTTTAAGTATTAGTGGTATATCTTAAAAGATCAATATTTTAATTTTGACAGAATGGCATCATTTTTAGTTCTTCACAAATTTCTTTTAGAGATGAGCTAAAATTTATATTTTCTCTTAAATATTTGTCAAGATTACAGGACCATATTTAGACTACTTGATCAAACAAGATACTCTAGAAGCATTCAGTATGCTATTTTGACTCTATAAATGAAGAAGCTTTTCAGATTTTAATCTCCTTATAGGATGTCACTACAGACTGCTGATTAATAACATTTTACAGCCTCTTTTGTTGGTTTTTGTAGATACAAACAAAGCTTTCGGGCCTCCTTTTAAATAGCTTATAAAGTGAATATATTTGGGTTAGCATAGTTTCTTAAAATTTATATAAAATGAGGTGTCTAGTGTGGCAGTTAACTAAAGAGATTTTGAGCAGATCTTCCAAGGTTTTGGTAATTAAAGGTTAAAATTCTCATGATTAAATTATGATAAATCTTAAATCTTTGTTGTAAATTATTTCCCAACATACTCCTCTAATATTGTTTTTAAACATTTTTCTAGCTCTTTACCTTTGTGGAATTATTCTATGGTGTCTTGACCAATAGTCTGGGTCTGATCTCAGATGGATTTCACATGCTCTTTGATTGCTCTGCTTTGGTCATGGGACTTTTTGCTGCTCTGATGAGTCGATGGAAAGCAACTCGGATTTTCTCCTACGGGTAAGTACATTGACTCAAGGTAACATGGTACAGTGAAGAATTCAGGGTACAAATTCCATGTAAGGTAATGAAAATATTACTTTTAATCGAGATAATTTTCAGGTCTTTACTTTCCTTTAGTTTGAAGTAAATATGAACTAAGCATTTGATACTGAATTATAGGGAACTCAAGGTTAAACCCGCTGGCAGATTCTTTTCATGGGCACAGAGCAAAAAAAAAAAGTTAAAATCTTAAGATCTTTGCCCAAGGGAGTTTTGTTTTTGGTTTTTGGTTTGTTTGTTTGTTTGTTTTGTTAGGAAATGGAATATGCCTGGTTGTTAAAAAGACATAAAAACTTTGTTTTTATTTTTTTAAAAACCATTCAGCCGGGGATTTAGCTCAGTGCTTCAGTGGCCTGCCTTGCAAATGCAAGGACCAGAGTTCAATCCCCGGTACCAAAAAAAAAAAAAAAATTCAAAATTTAAAGTGGCTGTACATAATAATGTTCAAGTATAATAATATCAGAATCTTTTGTGTGCCAAGTATTTTGATAAGAATACTAAATGAATTTAGATTTTATTCTCAGTTCGTTCTATCTTTAATGTTAGATGAACCAAAAGTACAAATAATTTTGTTACAAAACAAAAATCTGTGTGCCACGACAGATACAGAGCACATCAGGGTTTAAAGAAGAAAGAAATAACTTCTTGCTAAGAATTAGGAAAGGATTTTTGTAAGAAGGACATGAAAGAAGTACTTTGAATATATAAAATTTCAACAGAAATATGTGTGGAAGGACTTCCCAGCATTAATGTGATACTTCAAGTATTGTTAATTTTCTATTTAGTAGTTTAAAAATCTGGATTTGTTTCCTCATTAATAAAATAGTAATGTTTATACTTTAAGTACTTATTTTCCTTTTCTACAAATTACTGTGTTTTTAGGTATGGCCGAATAGAAATTCTCTCTGGATTCATTAATGGACTTTTTCTAATAGTAATAGCTTTTTTTGTGTTTATGGAGTCAGTGGCTAGATTGATTGATCCTCCGGAATTAGATACAAACATGTTGACAGTAAGTCTTTTCCTTTTCCTATTTGAATTTCTACTCAGAATTACACAGTTTTTCTAGTTGTATTTATTAATCTAGAAGGTTTTATTTTGGTTTTATTTGAACCAACAATATCCTTTCGTGAAACATAGTATCTGTTCCTTATGCCATGGTTTTTCTGTCTGTAATTTTAGTCACCTACATTTAACCGTGGTCTGAAAATATTAAACAGAAACTTCTATAAATAATTCCAGAGCCTGGGATGTAGCTCAGTGGCACCATGCCTGCCTAGCAAGTACAGGGTCCTAAGTTCAATCGGTGGGACAGGGTTGTTCCAAAGTATAACTGGCTAACTGGCTTCTATTACATGTTTATAATTGTTCCATTTTATTATTAGTCATTATTTTTAAACTTTTTTTGTGCCTAACTATCATGGGCATGTATGAGGAAGAGGGCAGGAGGGGGTCTTAACATATCCCTTGAATGCCAGGCATGGTGGCGCATACCTGTAATCCCAGCACTTGGGAGGCTGAGACAGGAGGATCGCTGTGAGTTCAAGACCAGCCTGGGCTACATAGTGAGTTCCAGGTCAGTCTTGACTACGTAGTGAGACCCTTCTCAAAAAACCAGAAAATAAAAGTGGGGGCTGGGGATTTAGCTCAGTGGTTCTGCCACCTGCTTCACAAGTGCAAAGTCCCGAGTTCAATCCCTGGTACCAAAAAAAAAACCAAAAAGAAATCCCCTAAAGATAAGGAAAAACTATATTTGAGCTACTGCATCTTAGAAATTAATCCTTTTCTCTGGTATCTTAGTAGTTCAAATATTAGAGTATATTATAAAACATACAATATAGGTTCCTTACTTTTTAAATGTTTTTGTTTGAAGATATATTTTTAAATACCTGAGGAAATTTGTATGTTAGAGATAAAATCAGAAAAAAATTAAAATGTTAAAGGATTTACTCCATAGATTATTTCAGTGCTGTAGAAACGTTTAATGTCCTCCCCGTACCTTCAGGCCTTTTTGTGTGCTGTCTCCAGTAGCTGGCATGCACCACCCCTGCTCCTACCCTATAGCCTCCCCTCAAGATTTTGCTCACCTGCTGCTGTCTTCTTTTCCTCCATCCTTCCTCCTTTATATTCCCTCCCACAGCTCCTTAGATTCCTTTTATCTATATTCCCTTTGAACCTTGCACATTCCCCTTTTTAACAGCATTGTTACAGTTACTTAGTCATTCTTTCACAATTAAAATGTGTTTTAATTCAGGACCTGAGTTGCTTGTATCATTAACTCTTTAATTGTAGTATCTGCTTTATAGTAGAAAAATTAGCAATTAATTGTCAAATGACTAAAAGCAGTTATGAATCTTGTTCCTGGAAGCATATATTAGTACTGAATGTTTTTGGAATACAATTTAGAAATACATATTGAATCTGTTTTTTTTTTGTTTTGTTTTTGTTTTTGTTTTTTGAGACAGGGTCTCACTATGTAGAGTTGAGACTCACCTGGAACTCACTGTGTAGCTCCGGCTGATCTCGAACTCACAGCAATCCTCCTGCCTCAGCCACCCGAGTGCTGGGGTTATAGGTGTGAACCACCACACCAGGCTACATATTGAATCTTTAAATGCTCATTTCTTTTTTGTTGTTATTGTTTTTTGTTTTTTTTTTTTAATGGTACTAGAGATTGAACCCAAGGAGCATTGGACCACATCCCAAGCCCTTTTTATTTTTTGAGACAAAGTCTGGCCTCAAATTTATACTACACTTGATCTTAGCCAAAAGGCCGAGAAGCGATTGGCCTCAAATTTATGATCCTCTTTCAGCCTCCCAGTTAACTGGGATTACGGGTGTGTGCCATTACATCTGGCAATGCCCCTATCTTTTAAACTTTAGTGTTTACCATACAGAAGCAATGAGAGAGTAGGTCACATGGTTAGCGTGTGCAAGGCCATGAGTATAATCCCCAGTACCAAAGAAAAATACCATAAACATTTACGCAAGCATTCAGAAGTACATGATTTGTTCTATCAGTGTTCATATACTGAAAAAAAATAGAAATAAATGTGCACCAGTGAACGGACTAGTAAAATAGATTTCTCCATATGATGGAATATTATACAACTAGTAAAAAGAATGAGATACTGGCATGAAAAGTATCTACAAGATGTACATGCAAAGTAAAAAATGACAAGACAGTGCGTTCTATTATTAGTTTTAAAATAAATGCATGTATATTAGTATATACATAGAAAAAGCACTACTCAAGGGTAGAAGTACAGGGGACTTTCAGCTACTCCCATTTTTCTGATGAATTATGCAAAAATAAAGTTTCTCAGTGGAAAGGTATTTTTAAGGTGATAAAGTTTCTGTAAGCAGTATTTGATTTCATTGAAACTCATTAACTTAATAACAAATTTGCAAAGCTAACTGAAATTTCAAATGCTGGCAGATGAGTGGTCTGAGTTACAAGAAGTAAATAAGCCCCGTACATGTTTCCTAAAGTAAATCTCTTCTTACTATGCAAAAAAATGATTAAAATTATTTGTATCCTTCATTTTTATATTTGCCTTCCGTAAAACAGATTTCTCTAAAGGCAAAAAACTGAATATATGTAAATTAGTAGTGAGCTACTCTTCAAAATAATTTTATGAAAGAGGATAATCAAAGCTAACTGCTTATCCTTTAGAGTATTATTGTGGCACTGTTAAGTTAAGGTAATTTTATTCACTTTGTTTAAAAAAATTGAGGGCTGGGGATTTAGCTTAGTGGTTCCACCGCCTGCCTCGCAAGCACAAGGACCTGAGTTTGAACTCCGGTACCAAAAAACAAAAAAAAAAATTGAGAGATTGCTGCTGTATGTTGCATTTTCATTCTGCCTTTTTTACATCAGAAAATTTTACTGTAAAAGCACAGTAAGGCCAGGCATGGCGGTGCCTCGTATAAAATCCCAGCTACTCGGAAAACTGAGGCAAGAGAATGGCAAATGCAGGGATACCCTGGGCAGTTAGTGGGACCCTGTCTCAAAAAACAAAGAATTAATAACTAAAAGGCACGGTAAGACTGTATTTGGAACCCACTAGTTAATATAATACAATCATTATCATACAGACTTGAAATTTATCTAGTTATATGAGCAAGATTTGAAATACAGCGTGTCCTTGCCATGGTGAAGATTATTTTCAAACTCTTTAAATAAACAAAATTTTGTACCATTTACCTATAAATAAACCAGGAGCCAACGACATATCCTTTTAAATCACTTATTTAAAGTAAATCTAAAATTGTCAGTTTTGTTTGGTATTTGAAAGTTAAAAATGATTCTTCAAAAAATATCACATTTTTAACATTTTGTGCTTATGTTATGCACTCTTATTTTTTTTTTTTTTTTTTTTTTTTT